AACCACTAAGTAGTACATTTTAAAAGGGTGGCTTTTATGGTATGTGAGCTATACCTCAATATAAAGAAAAAAAGGAAAAAAAAACTTATCTCAGATTTGTATCTACTGTTTTATAACTTGGAAGCACCTGAGAATACTGAGCTGGGGCTAGTTGAAAATACTCAGTGAAAAAAGTTTGTAGCTGTTTGGTCTTTTTTTTATATATATATATATTTTTAAGAAGATGTGTTAGTAACCCAAGGATCAACCTCATGGAGCAGTGAGCTTGCATTGTGTCACCCTAACTCCAAGCAGAAACATTTCAAACAGTGCTGGATGAGGGAATCTACAACTCTCCTCCAACACTGTAATAAAGAGCTCAAAGCAAATCTTAAAAAAATAAAATAAAGTGAATACGATTATCAATAATGCAAGCACAGGACAGACATGGAGTAGGGTGCAGACTTTACCAGGAGAGAGTGATGGAGAGAGTGCAAAGGAATTGAAGGCAGCAGCAAGGGACTGGTTAAATGATTACAGCGTTGTGTCATGTCTCTTAACCTGGGCGAAATGAGATCTAGGATATGAGAGGAGGAATGTTCATAAAAATGAGTTGGGATTCCAGGGAGGAGGAGGGTGAAGTACACTGGATCAGAAGAAATACAAGGACAAGACTGCGAAGATCGGATACTGCCATCAGGGAGTGGAAAGCTTGAAATGAAGACATGTCCTGCTGATGCAACAAATGACAGTGTCCAGGGTATGATCATGGACTGGATGAGGACAATGGAAAAGATCACTGAATCTGAGGAGATCAAGACCTCTCAAGAATTTCGAGGGATTATCAGTGTGGACATTGAAATCATCAGGAAGGAAGACTGTGGTGTTAGAAAGGAAATGAGTGTTTCGGGATCATCCATGAGACATCGTTTAATGAAATACAATGCCTGAGAAGCAACAGCAGATGAATTCAGCTAAGATGAAGAAGTTTAATTCATTTGCATCTATTTTAGGCAGCTAGGATGTTTAGAAAGGTGGTATAAAGGATACCTAATCTACAAGTAGCTTTAAACAACGTGGGTAACACTTTCAAGCTTGTATGTTGTAGCATGTGAAGGAAAAGTCATCATCCACACTGGAGAGAACCACAAGCAAGTAAGTATATGTCAAGATATAGCTAAGTTTTAGCTAGAGCTAAAAAGTAAACAAAACATTCAGAGAAAAATTAAGGACATCGGAGAATTTGCTAATAACACATAAGGTATTCCAAAAGGTAGAATGGAAAAGTTTGGGGCAGATGTGAGTTTGAATTAGATTAGGGAATGTGCACATATAAATGGGGCAAAGACTCAAGAGGAGAGATGCATTGGGTGCTTGGGATTATGGTGGTATGGAGTTGGATAGACTTGACTGTCTATTAAGGAAGGCCAACAATCAAATCTAATTTTCTTGGTTTACAGTTCTTTTCTTAAGCAGTTTCTTATGCTTAAGAATAGTAAGAGTTGTGCTGGGAGATGAGAGCCATAAAAGTCATGACATGAATACATGCTGCCCTGTGGATTTCCTTTAAATCTTTTTGAAGGTGGCACCTGCAGAATCTACCTGTTACCTGGACTGTTAGTCAAGTTTCTCAGTGTTTAGAATTTGAGAGCTCAGAAAGTATTTATTAGGTACTGGTGACTATTAACAAAGTTAAATTAAGCATGTGAAGGTAGGCCTGAATATAGTTCATCTTGATGTCTCCAAGTCTATGCAAGTAATTGTTTAAGCTGGTATTTCTTAAACTTTTGCCACCGTCGTGCATAAATGGGTAATGTATATCTGAGCATGTTCACATGAGCCGTGTGAATACGAATTGTAATTTCAACCCGTTCATTCTTTCCCAATAGAACACTGCAGAAAGCAAATACATGGTAATTCTTTTGATATATAAACTCTAATTCCACTATATTTTTGGAAGAGAAAAGGACTTATTAATAGTAAGCTTTAATACTTTGATGAAATTTGTAGTGGCATCTTTGTGATACTTGTGACACACTTCACATCTGAGTTTACCATTCTAAGATTTACTCTCTAAGCTCAGGACAAAATAACATGTCAACTATAACACAGCATTGTATCAATCAAAATAAATCAATCTCCATCCAAGAATGAGGATCAGTGTATTTTCTTTTTTGTGATCATTTATTTGTAGTTTTTTAATCCTGTGTCTTCAGTGACTGATATGTTTGACAACAGATATACAAAATCTGACACTGTTGGAACAGATCCTCAATTTTAGTATTTGCTAGATGTAAAAATGTGACAGATTCTGAAACGAGTTCCGTGTTCCCCGAGATTGACTATTTGCGTATGCACTCCTCTTTCCCACCCCACCCCACCCTCAGGGAAGACCCTCTCACAGTGTGAGGGCCTCCTTCCTGTGGTCCAGGTTCTGAAACATGGGCAGCAAGACCTCAGAATGAAGCTTGGTGAACTCAGTATTTTGAGAAGAGGCATTGTATCAATAAAAATAATATCTTTTATTATTAGATATACAGATCTGAGATTTAAGTCCATACCTAATTCAACATTTTTTTTTTTTAAATTTTCTGTATACAGTCCATGGTCGTACTCAGAACATCATTTCCAATAACCTGGAGACATCTTCATTTCAAGCATTCCACTCCTTGGTGGCAGCATCCTATATTCACAGACTCACTCTTCCACTTCTGCTTCAACAACTCACTCTTCTTCTTCTGGGGTCCTAAATCCACTAATTCTTTACATTTTCAGGGCCATTTCTTCTCTCACATCCTAGATCCCATTGCCCAATCAGAAACTTCAAATGATTGTTCCCTTGATCTGAAATACTTTTGACTCTCTCATATTTCAGGAATATGTTCAAATACTGCCTCCTATCAGAGATAGACATTCCCTAATGAGCTTATCAAAAGTAACTACCCATTAAACCCCATATCATCCTTTGTTTTTTTCTATAGCACCTATATGCCATTGTATTACATATTTTGCCATTTCTATAACAGTGTCTACTTATTCGATTGGAAGTTTCATGAGGGCAAAAATTTTATCTTGTTAACCATGTGTGGTTTTTCAGTGCCTGACATATAGTAGATGCTTAATAAATATGTATTGGATAAATGAATGATGGAAAAATCAATAGTTCACTTTTTTTCTTTTCTATAAATCTGGACTTTTCAATTGTTTTAACTCAGCAGAACTCAATTAAAAAAATTAAATCTAATTTTTAGCTCCAAAACAGACAAAAAAATGCAAGCAGAACTTCTCTTGTTAATGGGGGTGAGGGATTGGTAGGATGTCCCTTGCTCTACCCTTTCTTTGGGAGGTGCAAATTGAAGTGTTGCATACTTAATGTTGATGGAAATATTTTCATTATTTAAGCTTAAAGTGTTTCCAAGTTAATAGAAAAATTCAACTCGAAGTTTTACCTGAACGCTAGTGTTAAAAAAGTCTCCACACAGTGACCTTGGAGACTCCCCTCAAGTTAGATTATGAAATTGATTTTTCAGTAGAGGAACATCTAATTCTTACTAAAAAATATATATATATATAAACCATTCTATCCAGCAAGTGGGTCAATTTCCAGTTACTGGAATGATCTGATGCAAATGATCTGACAATTTTTTTTGTTTATTTAATAATAATTATAAATCACTTCTCAGCTGCTTAAAAAAGTATAAGAAATAGGATTATTATCCCCTTATTCACATAAGAACATAAATGTCAATGTCGTGAATTACGTTTTTCACCAAAAATGGTTTTTTTAACTTGTCATAATTTTTTTATGAATATACAAAGGTAAACTTTTAAAATGTTATATTTACTAAGATTCTGGCAAGAGCTTTATGTAACAAGACACAGCATAACAGGCTTGCCATTCAACTTGTATACAGTGAGTCTCAGCTTCAATATGAAGCTGTTACAAACAAGACAAAACAAAACCAAAAACCTGCTTCTCACATGCTAAATATCTTGGCAAGAATGCCATTAAATGCAGTAAGGAATTCAAGATAGCAAGAATAAAAAGTTAATAAAAGCTAAACGTTACAGCCTAAACAAAATTCATACAAAAAATAACTATCACTGGTTACATAAAATCTTTCTAACTGGTTAAAACTTAACAGTATAAAACATGCATCTTAGAATCTTTAGCTATCAAATTCAAAAAGTATCAGTGTCTACTTGAAATGACTCCTCTCCAAAGCCAAAGTGTAGTCAAAATTAATTCAAATGTTATAACACATTCTAATACTAAAAATCATTCAGTATTATCGAAGTAGAGGTAAATCCCAGAGCTTCCGGGGCTTTCTTGTACTGCAAAAGGCCATTTCTCTAGTTCATTCAAAGCAGCATACGGCAGAGCCCAAGGATGTTCCTAACCTCAGTAAAGCGCAAGACTGCTGCACCCAGCTCTGACCTTCTCATGAAGCATGGCTACTGTGTCCACAAAAATAGGAATTATGAGGATAAAAGGCACACTATTCTGCTAAAGGAAATAGCAAACCACCCCCATCCCTAAAAGCTCCTTGCCCAGGTAAATAATAAAAGTATACAAGGGGAAAAAAATTAAAATACACTTATCTACAGAGTAAGGATACTGAAATATCAATGCAATCCCTCCTTCAAAAATGTTAACTAGAGTCATCTGGTCATTCTGTTTACATCTTAATGACGCATCCAGACTCAATATCTGTTGGTTTATCATTAGATACTTCTAGTCAAAAATATTAACTTTATCCCCACATAACAACCACTAGTATGACTGCAGTGTATAATCTCCCAAAGTCAGTAAGCAATGGAAGAGAAAAAGACAGATGTTCAGGCAGCAGGCAGCTATTGTGGCCCTTTCACACAGCGGCATTCTGAGGGGCTACTGAACAGTCCAGGAATAATTATAGAAACAACAATATTCATGCATTTTAGTAAATATGTCATTATTTTCACAGTTAAGATCTCCTCAGACATTGCACTTTATAAGGGAATCCTGATTTTTCCTAATGTCATGGTGAGTCAGGACTCGAACTAGTGGCCTTCTTTTTCTTTTTCTTACTGTGTTTCTTATGCTTTTTCTTTTTTGGTTTTTCTGTTGCTTTCTCTCTGTCTTCACTGCTTTTCTTCTTTTTTGCTCGTACCTCCTCAATATAATCTGATTCTGATAAGGACTCAGATGATAAAGGTTTATCTTCAGGATACATCTTTCTCTTTCTGCTGAGTCCTTTAATGTCCTTTTCTTTCTCAGTTGAATCCTTTGACTTCTTTTTCTTTTTCAAACTATCCTTACTATCTGATTCAGTCTCTGACATAGAGCTTCCAGAAGATTTATGTGAATGGTTCTTCTTTTTCTTTTTCCTTTTTCCTTGTTTCTTATCCTCGTCTTCAGAATCTGAGGAACTGCTGGAAGAATCAGAGCTTGATGAAGAAGAGGATGAATACCTACCAGATTTCTTCTTTTCTTTTTTCTTTCTCTGTCTTTTTTTGGATGAACTCTCACTTCCACTTAATAATTTCTCTCTGTGTTTTTCTAGTTCTTTCTTCCAGTTCTCATTCATTTTTTCTTTAAATTCAGCCAATGCCTTGGAGCCTTTCTTTTTCTTTTCTAGTTGTTTCACTTCTTCCCAGGTAGGCCTTGGTCGATTCAGATAATCTTGGATCGTTGGCCCTGAAGACTGGACTGGACCCCTTGATCTGGCCATTGCTATTGGGTTCATATAGGCCACGCGGTTATCCCTCTTCCCCATGGTGCTGGACTGCGCGCACCTCCAGACGCCTAGGGAGACCAGGCCAGTGGAGCAGCGAAACGGGTCCACACAGGTCCTTACCCAAAAAGGGTTTCTTAATCATGAAAAATATTATAGCTCTTGGCAAAAGCTAAAATTTGCATGCAGAAAGTTCAAATTAAACCCAATTCATAATTGATGAGGCATATAAGCTGCAAAAATATTTTTCTTTCACTGGATTTTACATGACTCCTGCATATGTTCAATGAAAAATGTTCTTTTCTTCTTATTTGTTATTAAAGTGTAGTTATTCTTATGACTTTAAATACAGACTATTTGTTGTTGTTTATTTTTACAATGAGTAAACTTTCAATGATAAAATTTCTAGGTTCTTTATTGCCATTGAATCTCAACTACCTGTGGTCTGTTTTAAAATGTTGATAAATAGGGCATCAAGGGAGAAAATGGAGTGTAATGATTTCAGTTTTAATTTCCCACTCTACTGCTAACTCACTGTTTAATCTTGGGCAAAAATCTCTCTGGACCTCAATTTCTTAATCTAATAAATGGGAATCTTATTATTGTTATTTTCATTTTTGTCTAGGATATTGACAGATGAGTATCAAGCCTTTTGAGTCAGAAAGTGACTTACTTGGTGAATATAGATTAGATAGCTATGGAAGTAGGTATCTAATTAAATTCTTCTGTTCAATTAGGCAAGTGTGTATTCTTGCGTATTAGTGAAATTTTAAACTGAAAATTCACTTACAAGACACTGCAGCAGAAAATATTTTGCAAGGTGATCAAGTTTATTAGTATAAAAGTTATGTTCTGGTTTTGGGGAGTTTTTCCATGGTAATATACAAAAGTAGGCATTAGTATTAACTGCTATTGGTATAAAAAATTCTTTTGTTCAAAGAAGAGATACGTCTTAGACTACACATACATTTATTTAATATGGAGGTGTAAGCAAAATCAAATTATGCATACTGACAAAAACTCTCAGGATAAATGTGTTTGTTATGCAAATTAGAAGCTGGGGGTCTAGGGAGGCACAGATTCCCAACCTGGGAAGAGGGAGTACTTTGCAGAGCCACTGGCAAAGATACTTTTCAAGATAGTATCGTATGAGTCACATATTCATAAATAATTTAAATAAACCACATCCTTAGCTTATCGGAACAATTTAAAATAAACCATATTAGGAGAAATTTATAGATTACATATATTTTGTTAAATCACATATTTGATTTTACTGTTTATTGTATGCTATTTAGATTTGAGGAAGGCTGTGATTACTGAATTCCTTAATTAGGAAGGCTGTGATTACTGAAATACTGTGTACATAGAGTAATGTTCTTTTGTTATTATCTTACCTAGAATACTTCTTTGCTTGAAGAAAGCAATTTCAATTAGAAAAGGGTAATATTAATTGGCTAAAATAATTTCTCTTGAACTATTACATTTTATATGCACTTAAGATAATCTGAGGAGAATAAGAAATTTTTTAAGATAAAATATTTTGAGGGTTCTATTCATCCATTTTCTCCTTTTTAAAAAATGTGCATAACATTACTATTTAGCTTCACTTCATTTATTAATGACATATACAGAGGTAGGGAAAAGTAGATTTACAGTTATTCATATGGAAAAGAATATCAAGTTATGATTACAGTAGCTTTATTGATATTATAAAAATAAACTCTGTGGTGTACTCACAATTGTAAACTTACTTTTGCCAAACCTAGTATTTACTAGGAGAAGAAATGTAACAATTAGAGAATAAAGTTTAGCTTCTTTTATTTATATTTTAAAATGATATTTTAAAGTGATTTTGGGCTTTCAGGAGGCTTTGTCTTTTTTTAAGAAAGACTTCCATGACAATTGTCATTGTTCCAATATCTCATTGGGAGGTTAATACATACCTGTTGCTAACAACAGTAACAATGATAGCTAACAGCCACTGCAGTCTTACTGTGTACAAGGCATTGACTAAGCATTTAATGCATTATTAAGCATTTCCCCTAATAATTTCATCCATTACCTTACTGAATTCTAATATTCGTATTTGGTATTACTATTATTTTCATTTTACAGAAGAGAAAACTGAGCTGTAAAGAGGTTTAATGGCTAGGGTCACTGTGATTCTGTGATTTATAGCAAGAAAAATATATTTGGCCCTCCTCCCAGTTTCTGCACAGCGCTCCAAAAATTCTTGGTATTTTCTTAAGTGATGAAAGCTATAAAGGTATATTTTGTATGTTAATGAAATAACTTTGATGGTGGCTGGTTGCCAAGAGAACCAACCAAGGGATTGGAGGGTTGGAACTTTCAGTCACACCCCTCAACCCCCTGGGAGGGCAGAGGGCCTGAAGATTGAATCAGTGGCCAGTGGCCAATGACTTTATCAATCATGGCTGTGTAATGAAGCTTCTATAAAACCTAAAAGGCCGAGGTTCAGAAAGCTTTCGAGTTGATAATCTCATGGAGATTTGGAGAAAGGGCTCTGTGCCCTTTTCCTTACCTTATGCATCTCTTCCATCTGGCTATTTCTGAGTTACGTATTCTTTTATAACAAACCTGTGACCTAGTAAGTAAAATGTTTCTCTGAGTTCTGAGAGCTGCTCTAGCACATTATTGGAAACCAAGAGGAAGTTGTTGGAACAGAGCCACTTGACACGGTGAGGGGTTTTGTAGAACAGAACCCTTAACCTGTTAACTCGATGCTGTCTCCAGGTAGAGAGTATAGGCTGCCCAGCTATACTCTTGGTATACTCTTCGTACTCTTGGTGTCTTGGAGAATTGCTTGCTGGCATGGGGAACCTGCCTTCCACGCCACTGAAACTGGTACCAGAATTGATTTAGTGACATTTGAAGCAAGTGGAAAAGTAAGGCTTTGCACTCAAGCAGGGTGCTCCAGAGCCTGCAGGTGACCTTTACAAAAACATAGATGTTGATTTCCTTTCATACTGGCAAGTGACTGTTTAAGAAAAGTGATCAAGTTCACATTACCAATAGATTTTATAGAATACTTAGGAGTGCCATTAATAAGAAATATTTGTATTTATATTCTATACTACTTAAAAATCTACCTGAACCATTTAATATATCTTCAAAGAACGTTAACAACAGCTTTCTAAAGTTCAGTTGGAAGAATAGAAACAGATGAGCAATAATGGACCCCAGATATTTGGAAAAGGAATGGTGATGGGGATGGGATAGGGTGGGGGCTGGACCGGGAGCAGCCACCCGGCGAGCGGTGAGGCAGTGCGGAGCTGAGTTGGCGAGAGAGGAGATCCCGGATGTGGAGAAGCTGAGGAGAAGGCATGGGAGGAAGATGGACTCGGTGGGGAAGGGGGCCGCCACCTCTGTTTCCAACCTGCGGGGGCGGCTGTCCGGGGGCCGGCCGCCAAAGCTGCAGCGCAACTCCCGCGGTGGCCAGGGCCGAGGTGTGGAGAAGCCACAGCATGTGGCGGCCCTAATTCTGGCCCGGGGCGGCAGCAAGGGCGTCCCTGTGAAGAACAACAACAAAAAACCCCCATAAAAATAAAAAAAAATTAAATAAAATAAATAAAAATAAAAAAAGAATGGTGATGGCTGGGCTGGAGAGTGCTTGCCTTTCCAAATGCGAGTGATCGAGCTGCCGAATGGGATTGCTGGCCTGGGATGAGTACCATTTTTGTTGTGTTTCAGCATTTTGGTTAAAATGATTACGTTTATTTATTTTATTGACTGAATTCTGTTAACTTTCAATGAGATTTCCCTATTGGTTCCTGAACAAATTTCTACTAGTTTGCTGGGGCCACTGTAACAAAGTACCATAAATTGGATGGCTTAAGCAACAACTACTCTAATCTCACTGTTCTGGACGCTGAAAGTGCAAGGTGAGGGTGTTGTAGGCAGGTCTGGTTCCTTTTTAGGGCCGTCAGGGAGAATCTGTTCTGTGCCTTTCCTAGCTTCCGGTGGTTGATGGCAGTCTTTGATGTCCTTGGTTCATAGAAGCATCACCCTCATCTCTGCCTTTATTTTCACATGACATTCTCCACATGTGCACCTATTTCTTCTGCATGGGGCCGCCTCTGTGTGCCATTTTTCTCTTTTTTTATTATGACACCAGTCATACTGGTTTAGGGCTCCCCTAATAACTTCATCTTAAGTTGATTACCTGCAGAGAACCTATTTCCAAATGACACATTCATAGGTCCTGAGGGTTAGGATTTCAACATCTTTTTGGGTAAAATAGTATTACCTATAACAATATCCCATTCCAGTTTTGACAATGCTGTTTCTTATATAATATCCCCACTGATTTATTTTCAGCAGGAAACTCTTTTCAGTCTTTATTTACTAAGGTAAGAGATAATTAGTTCACATTGGGGTGGCTGCCTGTTTCTGTGGTGCCTTCACTCTGCCTCTGGAACTGGGAAGCTGCTGTAGGCTGATGATTCCTTTCTCGCTAATCTCCCTTTGTTCCATCCACCTGACTTAGTCAGGTGTCACCTTCTCATTAGGTGGTTCTGGCATAAGATCATACATTGAGTTCAGTTAGTTCCAGAAAAAGCTGATGCCAGTAATGGGGGAACAGAGGTGAGTAGTATATAATCAACCCCAAACCATACTTGCGTATGAGCGTCTGTACACACACACACACACACACACACACACACACACACACACACACACACACACACACACACACCCCCCCCCCCGCCTTAACAAGCTGAAAATCTAGTGGTACAAAGAAACACAAGATGCCAAACGTGGCAAAGGCTACAATAAAGTTTGTTTCAATTGTTGTGAGTGCACAAAGCAGGCACGCTTGCTTGCAGAAGTGGTGATTGGAGCTGAATCTTGAAGAATGAAGGGGAAGTGAAGAATAGGAGGGGCATTCAGGAAGACAAAATAGTAAAAGCTGACCGAATTACCCTGGTCACGGCCCTATTCAATGCACTTTCGCATTGTTTGCTATGTAGCAAGTACTGTTCTAGGTGCTTTATATCTCTTATTTCATTCTCACAGCA